TTAACTTCATAAACCAGAACTTCTAAACACCTCCCCTATGTTCGGGTTCATAGAAAAAGCAGTTTTGCTGGTTTAACTTTCGTGTTTTCTCTGTTATAAAAGAATAATAATAATAATAATAATAATAATAATAATAATAATAATAATAATTGATAAGTGATCAATCATGAATATAAGATGTACAAAAACATTAATATTTAACAGTATGAAAGTTTATTCCACTATCAAAAGATTTACGCCTATAGAACAACTCCTTTTAATACAAAACTAATTTTTTAAATTAAAAACGCTGGAACAAAAAAAATAGTTAATTTACGCGGCCTAACAATCGCTGATATGGATCGCTTTTCACAAATTTTTAGCAATTTCAAAAGGTAAAAAAAGGGCGTAAACCCTCACTACAAGTGAGTGATTATATTAAGCCTTGTAAGGTGGTCCTAACTTTTGAGGCCTTTGACGAATTAACCATTCAAATGAAACCAATACTACGACATTCTCGCTATACTGAAAACTCGTTGTAGAATGACGACGGCTATCACGTTTTTCTGCCGAATAACGCTGGTTCATGCACGTGCACTACTTAGTATTAAGAAAATCTCGTACTCTTAGTCGTCCTCTCCCTCAAATCTAAAGCTCTCTACTTTCAAGTGACGTTTTTTTCCCGCATTTTGCAAAGATGAAGCGTCGGGAATTCAACAGAATACTTTTAAACCGGTTGGGCAATATGATAATGATGTTGCGCATGTATGATGGGTTAAAGCGGGCAACCAAAGGAAACCTTTATTTATCCGTTTGCAGAATAATCTACTCTGAAGATCTTAAACGATGATCGTTTAAACTTTCTATTTGTGAAGGAAGCCACGAACGCTCTGGATAACGTAGTCTGTATTCGTTTAGAAACATGATCAAATGGCTTTCTGTGCCTGAGTCCACGTTTTTGACCGTACTGGAAGTTCATACAAGCCCAGACTGCTCGCGCACACGGAAAATCATATAGTCACATTTTTTTTTCTCTCTCATGGAACTCGCTAAACGAACTTGCTTTAACATCATGACTGTCACTAACTTTCTAAATGATCTATAGTTTCTGGAATTCTAAATATTCAACCCTGAGAAAGCTGGCTGTCAATACAGAGGATGTGGGATTTCTTTATTTATGTCCTTGTTATCCAAAAAGGAAATAAATAGGATTGCTCAATGGCCTGAAAGAAACGCGCTGATTGGGCTGAAATTAGAGGTAATCCGCAAGATTGTGCAAGGACAACTTTTTTTTCAGTCGTAAACTTGGAAGAGGTCATGCCACAGCGAAGATCGAGCAAAACCGCGACAAGCACACAGAGGCATAGCAGCAACACGCAGAGACAAAATCAGGAGGTTCCTAGACACAAGAAAATTTTTGGGGACATGTTCCTTTCTAGCGCGGCACGAACACAAAGACCCACAAAGAGCACGGTACATTCGGAAGCTCTGCGGCACGCCGCAAGAACCGATTTGTCCAATCATAATTTAAGAAGCCGCGGTCTAAAGCGCAGCCTGAGTGGCTTGTCTTTACGTAAATAGAATAATGAGGTATAAATTGCTCAGGAAAACATCGTAACTTCAATCTCGTCCTCAGGCCTTTTACTGTCGTAACTTCTGTCGTTGAAGGAACCGAGATACAAAGTAAAGAAAAAAGCGTGAAATAGAAAGAATTGTGCGGTATGATAGCAATCACCAACCACCTAGGCTCGATTACCAGCCGCTGTTCGGGAAAATGAGCCCGCAAAGACCGGACCCGGGAGACGGCGGAAATCGAGCCTACCAACCGCCCAACTACAACCCCGGACAAAATAGTTGGGACACTTTGTCAATTTCCCTCGTCCATTTCCTCCTCCTCCACAAAATTGAAAGTCACTCAAGCTTTCCCAAACTCCGCTTTTAAACAACACTACAACGGGGCAAGAGGACGCTCAGACTACGCCCTTAAATTAAGACAACCTCGCCCCCAGGACTCTGGGCTCGGTTCCTGAAAGGCCGATTAGCGCTAATCCAGGATTAAAATTCTGTTGCAGTTTTTGTATTTTCTTTCCTGTTCATTGCTTAGAGTAACAATTTGTGTCATCATTACTGTATCTCAGAGTAAAGACGCAACAGTATTATTGAAAGCTCGAGTTACATAAGAGGCAACGATAGGTAGCCTGTGTCGCAGACACTCTAAACAATGGTCTAGATAACGCGAGGGTAGGCTGCAACGCAGGCTAACGATAGGGTGATCTTCAGTGGAGGGAGGGAAGGGAGAGGAGGCCACATATAAAAGGGGTTGGGAGTCAGAGGGAATTGCCGACAATTAATTGGCGCGGGTGGGTACTCAATGGAAGTTTTGGTAGAGAGGGAGGGAGGGGCGAGGAAGCCACATATGAAAGGGGTTGGGAGTAAATAAATAAATAATAATGATTTAGAGGTAGCACATCCACAAAGTGGTTCTTCGTCTACCTGATTCCTGGTCGAATTGGAATTTGGAAGTTTTGGCAAAGAGGGAGGGAAGGGCGAGGAGGCCACATATAAAAGGGGTTGGGAGTCAAAGTAAATTGCCGACAATTAATTGTACGGGTGGGTACTCAATGGAAGTTTTGGTAGAGAGGGAGGGAGGGAGTGGCGAGGAGGCCACATATCAAAGGGGTTGGGAGTCAGAGGGAATTGCCGACAATTAATTGGTACGGGTGGGTACTCAATGGAAGTTTTGGTAGAGAGGGAGGGAAGGGCGAAGAAGCCACATATGAAAGGGGTTGGGAGTCAGAGTAAATTACCGACTTAATTGGTACGGGTGGGTACTCAATGGAAGTTTTGGTAAAGAGCAGTGTGCCACGGAAGCCTTCAAACCCTGACCGTTTTCAAAACAAGAGACCTTATTGTATTTCCCTGGCGCCCGTTTCTCGAAAGTCTCGATAGTTTTTCGGGTCCGAAAATTAAGCGCTTTTATGTTTACGGTGTTTGCTTTCAAGATCAAACTTTCAATCATTTTGAAAGTGACTCAATGAAACTACCAGTTAAGGAAGCAAAATTGACCGGTTTGTGAGCTACATTGTAGGTTAACTGTGCTACTATATATGCAGTATTCCATTTCAAAATTTCTTTTCGGACCCGAAAAGTTACCGGGTCTTTCGAGAAACAAGCACCTGATTCGTATGGTTTGCTTACAGGGTAAAACAAGTTTTCAAACTAACATCATGGAATTAGACTCTTTTTGGGAAAAAAGAATGTTAGTACACAAATGTAGACCCCTCATTGGCAGCCTCCACACTCTTTTAAAGGTTTCTGGTCCAAAGTGACACCCTGTTCAAGACGCTAAACAGAGAAAGTGTATGTGTACCCTGTAAAGCCTAAAGACCCTGAAAACCATATCCTGTTCAGCGGCACATACCTGGTTAGGCCAAATAGCAGAGTGCCACCCTAACCCCCTGAAAATTAGTACACAGGTATTACTTAACCCTGTATGTTTTATCAAAATAAGGCTTGTTGATAGCCTGAATTTCATTACTCATTATTCATTGACCCGTCACCCGTGACCACAGGTACCCCAGGCTCAATCGTGAGGTTGGCAAACCTGTGCCATGACCAAAAACTAAATAAATAAGCAGACAAACATTAAATGTACCTGATTCTCATTTTACTGATATATTCATTTTGTTTAAGTCACACTCTTAAAATTAAAAAAGTTGAAGACCTTTTCTTTTTCAAAAAAATATCTCAATTAAATGTGATGTCCATTTGTTCACTAAATCTGTACATGTGTATGTATAATAAGTCTAATAATTTTGAAGAGTACAAGTTGTTCAAAATGAATTGAGAATAGAGGCTCAAGAATACAGTTCTTATAGGTTTGTTCCATATATTGTCAAAAGCTGCCATTAGTAACCACCAAAATGCCAAGAATTGGTGATCCCTAACAAGAGGTTCCAGCTCGCCTGCTGGCGTTCTCAGGAGTACGGGGGTGGGGAAAGGAAGAGGGGAGGGAGAGAGTCGGAGCACTCCAGGAGAGTATCTTGCAGGCTAGGTTCCAGCCATAACTGACCTTTAAACTGCAAAAACAGTCAGTTTCTTTATCTCAAAAAATTATTGATCTTCTAAGGTGCTAAGTGCTGGAATAAGATTCTTGCACAAAGCCCAGTGGGGAACTCAACAAAGTTTTTTACGGGGATGCTTCTCCCTGAGGTCTGACCCCTTACCCTTTTATATACCATTCTTGACAGAAAAGCTAACCCTTTTCTTGAAAAATGGTACCCCTTTCACACATCTTGTTAAGAACTTTTCATCCCTTTTAACTGCTGTAATGCGCGGTCTTTAAAATATGAACAAATCATAAAACCAGAACATTTCTTTGACTTTTTCACAGCCATAAAGTGCATCGTTAGAACTTTTGCGCCTCTTTACAGACCAAAATGATAGATTTCCCTACCATTTCATATACTTCAACTTGTGAAATCCCTATCCTTTCATATACCTGTAGAAGCCTAAAAAAAGATACCCCTTTGGGGTGGAACCTCTCAACATAGGCCATTATAGGGAATACCACCTTGGGTACCTTTATCAGGCTTCAGGTTATATCAAAGGGTAGTTGAAGTATGTGAAAGGGTAGTGAAATCTGTCATTTTGGACTGTAAAAGGACCACAAAGGGCTAACAGATGTATTTCATGGATGTGAAAGAGACAAGAAAACTTCTTGGTTTAGTGATTTATTCATATTAAAAAGAGGGTGCATTTATACAACTTAAAAGGGATGATGTGTTCTAATGTAGGTAAGTGAAAGGGGGAATTACTTGTCAGACGAGTAGTGGGTATACAAAAGGGGTCCCTTTTCTAACAAAAATGGTATATAAAAGTGTAAGGGGTTAATTGGACCTCTGGGTGGAGCCTACCCATATAAAACGTAGTTGAGTACCACCTTCCCACCCCTTGAGATAACATACAAATTACTGAACTATGACAGAACAGTAATAAATAATATTATTAAAATTTGATCCTCATGATTTTTTCATTCTTGCTCGCTTCCTGAGTTCTCCACTCAATGCCACACTTGTTCTGGCTTTTGCCCAGTTACCACTTGATTTGCGTCTTCCCTGTCGACTTGGTGGGCTGGTTATACTTTGACTGCTTTGTGGCCGGGTCAGATGTTCTGCAGCAACAAACAAATATTGTTTGTAAGAGAATGCTCATTTAGTAACCTCAGACCTTCCAACTCTCATGGTTTGGGCTAACAACTCATGGTCTCATGATTTGGCCTCCAAATCTCACAGTGAGACGGTTAATCTCAACATTACCAGAAAATTCCCCGGAAAATTCCAAAACGAATCAGGTGAATTAAAAAAACTCTGTCATCATAATGTATCAATCTAATTTTGAGGGAAACATGGGTGTAATTCCAACCTCATTCCCGTGAAACATAGGTTGCCTAAGGTCTCAGGGAAAGCTTTATAGCAAACTAAAAATGGCTACTCGCCGTCCTATCGATTGACATAGATGATGAAACAGAATCTTCTTACCAACGAAATAAGGGCAACAACAGGGTACAACAGAGACAACTAATAGGGTAAAGAATACCATGACAAAAATAATCTGCCTTTTTGGTTTTATTAGGCTTGATTTCTGCCGTCTCCCGGGTCCGGTCTTTGATCCTCCCCGAAGAGAGATGGCTGATCGCATGTGTCCAGCCGCTCCTTCGGGGGGATGAGTGTGGGCTCATTTTCCTGAACAGCGGCTGGTAATTGAGCCTAGGTTTTATTTGACACATATTTTGGAAACCTCCAGGTTTGAGGTCCCAGTGTCCAAGTTTTGGGGCGCTTTTTTTATACTGAATCTAATAGTTCTGTTGCCAGGCTGGAATTTTGCCATATAAACTCCCCAGACTGGTTGGCCGAAACATAAAAACTCTTTCAACTATGTGACTGTACATCTTTATTGAAAGAAAGCATCTAAAAATTTCTTTTACATAACAATTATTTAAGTAATTGTGAAAAACTTTCAGGACTACAGTAACGAAAAACACGACTTTTCTATATAAATTATACATTTTTTTGATAAACATACCCTAGTTTACAAGACTTAAATTTCTCATATGAACACAGGACTGGTGTGGCATGGTTGACTAAGCCAGTCCGATTTACTGGGCTTAAATAGAGAGACCTTTGGCCTTAATATAGACCTCTTTACCTTGGTCACTTAGGACTGTTGTCTTTCAAATTTCAGTAATTTTCAGTAACATTTCACATCTTCCACTCACTTCTAAATTCTAAATTAAGTAATTTAGTACCATTATCAGTATCATTGTCATGATAAATTTACTGTTGTTATTTACTTACGCAAGAAGGTAGATGTTATTGTCTTGATGTCATTAAGAAGTGGAGTGTATGTTGATACTTCATCTCCTTCTTTTTCTTTATTAAAAACAAAAATAAGTTACTTATAAACTCTTGATATTTTTGCAAAGCATATTAGTGAATTTGTTAAAGTTATGACAATAAACACCTCTCTCCTTTAAGTACCTTCTATCAACTAACCGGCCCGCCCCACCCAGATTCCTAAAGTTAAAAATGCCCGGCCAACGGTACAGTCAAATCCCACTTTACAGACAGACACCCACTTTGGACACCTAATTATTACAGATAGTTTTCTTTGTCCCTGGGGGAAGAAAGCCCTTAGATTTTCTATAAATTCAACCCATTTAATATGGACACTTTCTATGGCCCCTCTCAGTATCTGTTTCAACAGGGTTTTGACTATAACTGTCCATGTAGAGCAAGGGAATTATGTCGGTGTCAATGAAAATCATGTTGACATGGAAAGGCAAGCAAAAATTTTGATCAAGCTTGCATATTTTGCTTGTTCTGCTATTCTTGGGGAAAATAATTCAAAACTTGAAGTCTAAATTTTAGTAGGTTCCGCATGTTCCTCAAGTCTGTGTTCCATGCTCCATTCCATTGTTTCTGCGTCTACTTTCATAGAGCACCAAAAATATGATGTCGGCGACATTGCTCAGGAAAACATCGTAACTTCAATCTCGTCCTCAGGCCTTTTACTGTCGTAACTTCTGTCGTTGAAGGAACCGAGATACAAAGTAAAGAAAAAAGCGTGAAATAGAAAGAATTGTGCGGTATGATAGCAATCACCAACCGCCCAACTACAACCCCGGACAAAATAATTGGGACACTTTGTCAATTTCCCTCGTCCATTTCCTCCTCCTCCACAAAATTGAAAATCACTCAAGCTTTCCCAAACTCCGCTTTTAAACAACACTACAACGGGGCAAGAGGACGCTCAGACTACGCCCTTAAATTAAGACAACCTCGCCCCCAGGACTCTGGGCTCGGTTCCTGAAAGGCCGATTAGCGCTAATCCAGGATTAAAATTCTGTTGCAGTTTTTGTATTTTCTTTCCTGTTCATTGCTTAGAGTAACAATTTGTGTTATCATTACTGTATCTCAGAGTAAAGACGCAACAGCATTTTGAAAGCTCGAGTTACATGAGAGACAACGACAGGTCGCAGACACTCTAAACCTTCTGGTCTAGATAACGCGATGGTAGGCTGCAACGCAGGCTAACGATAGGGTGATCTTCAGTGGAGGGAGGGAGGGGCGAGGAAGCCACATATAAAAGGGGTTGGGAGTCAGAAGGAATTGCCGACAATTAATTGGCACGGGTGGGTACTCAATGGACGTTTTGGTAGAGAGGGAGGGAGGGGCGAGGAGGCCACATATAAAAGGGATTGGGAGTCAGAGGGAATTGCCGACAATTAATTGGCGCGGGTGGGTACTCAATGGAAGTTTTGGTAGAGAGGGAGGGAGGGGCGAGGAAGCCACATATGAAAGGGGTTGGGAGTAAATAAATAAATAATAATGATTTAGAGGTAGCACATCCACAAAGTGGTTCTTCGTCTACCTGATTCCTGGTCGAATTGGAATTTGGAAGTGTTGGTTTTTGAGGAGAGGGGAAAACCGGAGTACCCGGAGAAAAAGCTCTCAGAGCAGGGGAGAGAACCAACAACAAATTAATTGGTACGGGTGGGTACTCAATGGAAGTTTTGGTAGAGAGGGAGGGAGGGAGGGGCGAGGAAGCCACATATGAAAGGGGTTGGGAGTCAGAGGAAATTGCCGACAATTAATTGGTACGAGTTGGTACTCAATGGAAATTTTGGCAGAGAGGGAGGGAAGGGCGAGGAGGCCACATATAAAAGGGGTTGGGAGTCAAAGTAAATTGCCGACAATTAATTGTCCGGGTGGGTACTCAATGGAAGTCTTGGTAGAGAGGGAGGGAGGGAGGGAGGGGCGAGGAGGCCACGTATGAAAGGGGTTGGGAGTTAGAGGAAATTGCTGACAATTAATTGGTACGGGTGGGTACTCTATGGAAGTTTTGGTAGAGAGGGAGGGAAGGGCGAGGAGGCCACATATGAAAGGGGTTGGGAGTCAGAGCAAATTACCGACTTAATTGGTACGGGTGGGCACTCAATGGAAGTTTTGGTAAAGAGCAGTGTGCCAGGGAAGCCTTCAAACCCTTACCGTTTTCAAAACAAGAGACCTTATCTTATATCCCTGGCGCCCGTTTCTCGAAAGTCTCGATAGTTTTTCGGGTCCGAAAATTAAGCGCTTTTATGTTTACGGTGTTTGCCTTCAAGATCAAACTTTCAATAATTTTGAAAGAGATTCAATGAAACTACCAGTTAAGGAAGCAAAATTGACCGGTTTGTGAGCTACATTGTGGGTTAACTGTGCTACTATATATACAGTATTCCATTTCAAAATTTCTTTTCGGACCCGAAAAGTTACCGGGTCTCTCAAGAAACAAGCGCCTGATTCGTATGGTTTGCATTCAGGGTAAAACAAGTTTTCAAACTAACATCATGGAATTAGACTCTTTTTGGGAAAAAAGAATGTTAGTACACAAATGTAGACCCCTCATTGGCAGCCTCCACACTCTTTTAAAGGTTTCTGGTCCAAAGTGACACCCTGTTCAAGACGCTAAACAGTGAAAGTGTATGTGTACCCTGTAAAGCCTAAAGACCCTGAAAACCATATCCTGTTCAGCGGCACATACCTGGTTAGGCCAAATAGCAGAGTGCCACCCTTACCCCCTGAAAATTAGTACACAGGTATTACTTAGCCCTGTATGTTTTATCAAAATAAGGCTTGTTGATAGCCTGAATTTCATTACTCATTATTCATTGACCCGTCACCCGTGACCACAGGTACCCCAGGCTCAATCGTGAGGTTGGCAAACCTGTGCCATAACCAAAAACTAAATAAATAAGCAGACAAACATTAAATGTACCTAATTCTCATTTTACTGATATATTCATTTTGTTTAAGTCACACTCTTAAAATTAAAAAAGTTGAAGACCTTTTCTTTTTCAAAAAAATATCTCAATTAAATGTGATGTCCATTTGTTCACTAAATCTGTACATGTGTATGTATAATAAGTCTAATAATTTTGAAGAGTACAAGTTGTTCAAAATGAATTGAGAATAGAAGCTCAAGAATACAGTTCTTATAGTTTTGTTCCATATATTGTCAAAAGCTGCCATTAGTAACCACCAAAATGCCAAGAATTGGTGATCCCTAACAAGAGGTTCCAGCTCGCCTGCTGGCGTTCTCAGGAGTACGGGGGTGGGGGAAGGAAGAGGGGAGGGAGAGAGCCAGAGTACTCCAGGAGAGTATCTTGCAGGCTAGGTTCCAGCCATAACTGACCTTTAAACTGCAAAAACAGTCAGTTTTCTTTATCTCAAAATTGATCTTCTACGGTGCTAAGTGCTGGAATAAGATTCTTGCACGAAGCCCAGTGGGTTACTCAACAAAGTTTTTCACTGGGATGCTCCCCCCCACCCCCGAGGTCTGACCCCTTACCCTTTCATGTACCATTTTTGACAGAAAAGCTAACCCTTTTATTGAAAAGTGGTACCCCTTTCACACATCTTGTTGAGCACTTTTCATCCCTTTTAACTGCTGTAATGCACGGTCTTTAAAATATGAACAAATTACAACACCAAAACATTTCTTTGACTTTTTCACAGCCATAAAGTGCATCATTAGAACTTTTGCGCCTTTTTACAGACCAAAATGATAGATTTCCCTACCATTTCATATACTTCAACTTGTGAAATCCCTATCCTTTCATATACCTGTAGAAGCCTAAAAAAAGATACCCCTTTGGGGTGGAACCTCCCAACATAGGCCATTATAGGGAATACCCCCTTGGGTACCTTTATCAGGCTTCAGGTTATATCAAAGGGTAGTTGAAGTATGTGAAAGGGTAGCGAAATCTGTCATTTTGGACTGTAAAAGGACCAAAAAGGGCTCACAGATATATTTCATGGATGTGAAAGAGACAAGAAAACTTCTTGGTTTAGTGATTTATTCATATTAAAAAGAGAGTGCATTTACACAACTTAAGAGGGATGATGTGTTCTAATGTAGGTAAGTGAAAGGGGGAATTACTTGTCAGACAAGTAGTGGGTATACAAAAGGCGTCCCTTTTCTAACAAAAATGGTATATAAAAGTGTAAGGGGTTAATTGGACCTCTGGGCGGAACCTACCCATATAAAACTTAGTTAAGTACCACCCTCCCAGCCCTTGAGATAAGATACAAATTACTGAACTATGACAGAACAGTAATAAATAATATTATTAAAATTTGATCCTCATGATTTTTTCATTCTTGCTCGCTTCCTGAGTTCTCCACTCAATGCCACACTTGTTCTGGCTTTTGCCCAGTTACCACTTGATTTGCGTCTTCCCTGTCGACTTGGTGGGCTGGTTATACTTTGACTGCTTTGTGGCCGGGTCAGATGTTCTGCAGCAACAAACAAATATTGTTTGTAAGAGAATGCTCATTTAGTAACCTCAGACCTTCCAACTCTCATGGTTTGGGCTAACAACTCATGGTCTCATGATTTGGCCTCCAAATCTCACAGTGAGACGGTTAATCTCAACATTACCAGAAAATTCCCCGGAAAATTCCAAAACGAATCAGGTGAATTAAAAAAACTCTGTCATCATAATGTATCAATCTAATTTTGAGGGAAACATGGGTGTAATTCCAACCTCATTCCCGTGAAACATAGGTTGCCTAAGGTCTCAGGGAAAGCTTTATAGCAAACTAAAAATGGCTACTCGCCGTCCTATCGATTGACATAGATGATGAAACAGAATCTTCTTACCAACGAAATAAGGGCAACAACAGGGTACAACAGAGACAACTAATAGGGTAAAGAATACCATGACAAAAATAATCTGCCTTTTTGGTTTTCTTATAGGCTTGATTTCTGCCGTCTCCCGGGTCCGGTCTTTGATCCTCCCTGAAGAGAGACGGCTGATCGCATGTGTCCAGCCGCTCCTTCGGGGGGATGAGTGTGGGCTCATTTTCCTGAACAGCGGCTGGTAATCGAGCCAAGGTTTTATTTGACAC